ACTGGCTCGATACATTAGTAGACCAGCGCGAGTCATTGTAAAGGCCAGATCTGCATTCAATCACCTCTAACGATACTTAGTGAAATCGAATACACCCCTCGGAGATTGATCAACGCCGAGAGCTTTATTCTTTAATTATTTTGCTTATTTTCTTGAACTTCATCTATTAAAACGAAGTGTTCAATAGTGTGTGGATGGGTGATATACTCTCAACGTCTTCAGTTACGACGTCGAATCACTGTACATGAGAACTCTGCTCGACTACTCTGGTAACTGCGCAACGACCGTACTGTTTTCTCGCTACTTAACATGTGTATAGGAAAGGATCTGTGAAAGCGCGACACTGTTCAAGCAAAGCATCTCCTCACCACATAGGAATAGATAACGAAGTCGTTCGATAAGTGCGGAAACGACAGAAAACTTGATGATTGATTCTTATCATGACCTGCTTTTCGTCGAGAACATCGGTTTTTTTCCCCAAAGGTCACGAAGGAAGCGGACACGATTCATGAGATGATCGGAAAACCAAGGAAAGCACTACACTAGGAATCAACCAAGAAGGGAATAAATCTAGGAGATACTCGCACATTTTAGCAAAAACGTAGAAAACTGAGGAAGAGAGATGTTTAGCTTTCCGAAGATGTAGAAAAGCGTATTCGAAGTGGCACTTATAAATAGTGAATCCAAAGCAGAATCGGTTTGATCGTTATTCAACAATATACCTAAAGAAGACGAAGATCCTCAAGCAGCAACCGAACCCACGCACAGAAATCCTGAGACCTTCGTAGAATATGGATAACAGGAAGGTTGCGTAAAAAAGATAACGAATTGAGAGATGATAGGCAAGAAAAGGAGCAAAACTGGCCGCATTTGGATTTCGTAAGATAACCACCGATCTATTGTCCATGCTAGAGGAAGAACACGTTGTCTGGCCCAGTAGTGCAGACTCCTGATGTATCCCGTTTTCTTGATCGGCCGCAATATAAATGTTTAGTTCCACAACAAGAAGTATTCTTTCACGTAACAAATTCACTCCATGGCGGATATCGATAAAGAACGATTATGCGTAGCTTTACAGAACGCAAGTGTCCAGGGAGAGCAGATAGAAGATAAGGAGACGTACTTTTGTTAGCGAGACTGCCGACTATTCTAACCCGGACGCGGTTCCAATATAGGGGACCGGTCCCAGGACATATTACAGTGCAAGAAGCAGACCATCTTCGTAGACGACACTCAGAATAGAATGATAGAACAATGAAAAGCGTTCGGCGTTGCTCAGTCGTTAAGGAATGCACCATAAATTCGAGTCAGCCAGACATCTTAGACATCTTGTCGTCTTCTCTACGCAGGAGGAGATGGACAAATGCTTCGAATTATTAAACGAGCAGTCCGAGTACATAAAGTTCACCCGGGAGAAACCGAGAAAAAACTGGCTTCCGTTTTTTGGACGTCCAAATAAACCTATCAAGTAGCGGTTACCTGACAAAGTGGTATCGAAAGCCAAGTAACAAGAACATCCTTGTCCATTTCCTTTCTTCCCACCCTTCACACACAAAGAGGGCGATTGTGAGAAACATGTTTCGAACAGCCACCTCTGTGTGCACTACCAGGGAACTAAAGGAAGAATCGCGCGACTTGGCCCGGCAAATAGCCACCTCCAATGGCTACGAAATAGTAACCCCACGAGATAAGTTTACAAGGAGAACGACGCGCCCACGCGAAACGCTTGGCCAAAACAAAATCCCGTTTATGTTGCCTTTTATAAGCGATGAAGTAAGCGCAGCTATAAAACGATGCTTAAGAAGGGCAGATCTAGAGGAATCGGTAGCGATAGTTGAAATACCACCGACTACTCTACGTCGCCAATTAGTTCGCAACCGCCTGTATGACCGTCTGTGTGAAACAACAAATTGCGTAATTTGCCCTTACGGCAGGGACGGTGATTGCATGAGTTCAGGTACGATATACCTGATCTCTTGTAATAATTGCGGAGATGAATATATTGGCGAAACGGGCAGACCTTTGTGTATCCGTATAAAAGAACACCTAGATGGCAAACGAAAACTAAGACGAAGCACCCCACTAGGCACGCATAGGATACAAAAGCATAGCGGAGACGATTTTGAAGTGAAAGTCAATATCCTTGCACAGGAGTCCAAAACACCAGCGCGAAAACTCCTTGAGGCTTTTTGGATCAATGCCAAAAGCCCTACAATGAATAGCAGGGACGAATGCCCGGAGATCATACGCGACCTGATCTCGTACGTTCGCATCGATTTTTGATGTGGGATGGTGCAGTCGTCAACCACATGCGACTATAATCAGCTGTTCTAAACTTCCTCATTGGAAGTCACGAAAAAGCGGTGGGTTTTTCGAGAAGTTGTTGATTGTGTAATTACCGGAGAGTTCTTCGTCTTTTTGTAAGTGTTATTGAAGCGTTTGGCCTAGTAGATTGTATATCAGTATACCCTTCCAGGCTCTGAAGAAGGCGATACTGCCGAAACGTCAGCTAGCGTTGTATTGTATTGTGTTTTCTTNGCGGAGATGAATATATTGGCGAAACGGGCAGACCTTTGTGTATCCGTATAAAAGAACACCTAGATGGCAAACGAAAACTAAGACGAAGCACCCCACTAGGCACGCATAGGATACAAAAGCATAGCGGAGACGATTTTGAAGTGAAAGTCAATATCCTTGCACAGGAGTCCAAAACACCAGCGCGAAAACTCCTTGAGGCTTTTTGGATCAATGCCAAAAGCCCTACAATGAATAGCAGGGACGAATGCCCGGAGATCATACGCGACCTGATCTCGTACGTTCGCATCGATTTTTGATGTGGGATGGTGCAGTCGTCAACCACATGCGACTATAATCAGCTGTTCTAAACTTCCTCATTGGAAGTCACGAAAAAGCGGTGGGTTTTTCGAGAAGTTGTTGATTGTGTAATTACCGGAGAGTTCTTCGTCTTTTTGTAAGTGTTATTGAAGCGTTTGGCCTAGTAGATTGTATATCAGTATACCCTTCCAGGCTCTGAAGAAGGCGATACTGCCGAAACGTCAGCTAGCGTTGTATTGTATTGTGTTTTCTTTATGGAAGTAAATGTATGCTGTTTAAAAACCTCGCGATTGCTGAACAAGAAAACGACACAGACATCTTAGAGTTAATTGGACGCACATCTGGCTTACACAATGATTTACAGTGGTCAACTATTACATCAAATTAGTGTTTTATCTTCGAAGGTAGGTCTTATACCAATTCACTCTTTCTCAGAAGGATGGAGGACTTGCTTTGCCTGGGGCATGACGCTAACGAACTAATGAACACGTGTTTACCGCAATGTACCAGGTCACACGCGAAACGAGGACAAGTTGATGTAAATTATGTTGGAGCACATGTGATGGTTAAGATTGGAAATCCCGTCATCCGACCAATCAATTTTGTTTCAATTTTATTTAATTTTCTTGGTTATACAGAATGACCTCGTGATTACAGGGAAGAAAATTGGACGGCTTGTAGGTTTGTTGATGTTTTTGCTTTCCAGTCAACCAGCCGTTATAATCACTTAAGTCTGAGAAGGATTCCAGTGAGAAAACGCCAAATCGTTTTCGATATGCAAAAGGCTGTCTGTGGAGAAGATTTGAAGAAAGTTGCGCACTAATGAGTTCGATGCGCATCAACAAAAATTCGGAAAACCTTCAATTTTGTTTGATTATATTGAATTAGTGGTAGGTTTGAGATTGCTGCTTTTCCTCTTCAGAAAAATAGGAATTCTGTCTGCACCTCCAATTTGGCTCCATCAAGAGTCGGCTAGGGAAAGCATCAGCATTGTGTAGTATTTGGATGTCTGTGCAATTTTAAAAATCGAGTTTAGCTGGCACGTTCCATCGGGTGGGCAGAGTCTTTGCCTCTGGAATCTGCAAAGCACTGACTAGTGGCGTTTTGATGTCGTCACCGCTCACCGATGGTAGTGGTGCAAAACTTTTATGTTTCGAAGGGAGGTATGCCATTATGTCACTGAGCTTCTGCCGGAAACGAAGGCAATTACGAGCGTTGGTTTACCCTTAGTTGGTCTTTCGAATCGAAATGTCGAGCTCGTTCTTCGCTAATGTGACGCTATACTATACTAAATGAACAGTTTGCTTTATTTCGAAGTTGCGCCATCAGTAAAGTACCGCGCCACAATATTTTTCGTATATTACACGATATCTGGTTCAAAATGAGTTCTTGGTTATAAATGTATCTCTCTCTTCTCTCATTACGTTGTGTACACGCCTCCTGTGGCAATTTCAGGCTTTCGAGCGCAGTGGGAAGGGAGGGGTGGTATAGTCATAACTATGCCCAAGCCGGCACAGCGCTATACATTCGAAATGCTGTAATCGAATGTATTGGTGGGCTCAACTCTAGGCTCAGAATTGTGTTTGTTGATTTTCTATCCGTCGTGTTTATTGAAGCCTTTGGAAAAAACCTTTTCTCTGGCTTCGTAAGCTGTTTTTCTTTGAAAATATGATTTCATTAATTACTCAAGGATAAAATAACGAACAGTAGTTATAACCTTAACATCAGTTTCGTAGAGAGTCGTGATAGAGAAACTGTCAGATCGATCTCTTCGATCACTTGACATGATTACTGTGCTGGCTGTTTATTGTACATTAGTTATGTCATTGAAATATTCTCGGATATTGTTTCTATACCAAGAAACTTGTTTAAGTCGTATATCTGGACAGTTCTACTGCAGTTTAGCCAATCACGTTTGCAAATGGTGAAGAGTTTCTGTTCCACATCGAACGCAGCTTTCCGTTTCCCATAAACCACCGTAACAGCTGAGTCCGACAAGCTGACTTGAACGAAAAATTGCTGAAATAGGTATAATTGAAAATTTTAAAATAAAATCCTCACTGGAAATTGAATGGCCTTCCAGCTATATTTTTGCTTTTCTCTTCCATGCTATGCTTCATTCCACGAAGCATTGAACTTTTCGTTGAACATCATCGTTCTTTCGCCGTTTTTTTCACCGTCTTCATTTGGTATTCTCGACTGTGCTTTTCCTCGCGATGCTCATAGTTGGTTCCATGAATCGTTATCAGGGTTTTGATCGGCAAGAAATCTTTCAACGATTATCCTTTCAAGGTTACATGGAGGAAGAACGAAAGGCGTTATGCGAACAATCAGAGCTGGTCTTTGCATCGCTTTTTCTTCGTAGTGTGTTGGTATTCAACATATTATGTTCAACATTCGCTATTCCATTGATCATACTAGTAGCTAAATCTACTTATTCACACAAACTTGTACATTACAACATCAAATGGATTTTGATATTTCATTTTGGATGCTTAGTGACACATGATTTCTTCAGGTACGTACATTACTGTAGAAAAATCCTTATAAACCTTACAGGTTTCAGTTTGCCCTTGTCACACCAGTGGCCGTGGAATCTACACACGGGATTCTACAATATTACCTGGGCTTACCAAGCCTTATTTTCTTTTAGCCTCAGCAAATTAGGACCGAGCTCATCAGGGTGGATAAAACTACTAAACAGGCGCATCGCTGCGCCACTGAAATTCCTTATATGATCCTGATTGTGTTCAACTACCTCTATGGTGATTGATGAAAGTCCAACCTAGGGTTGATCACCACCGAACCGTTTCTTCTTCATTCTTCCTGTAAGATAATACTAATATTAAGGTTAAATCAATATCAATAGTAGTCCATATTAAACCATACCACAGTTTATGGAGATCTTTGCGACAAGTCGGGAACTGCTGACTGGAGGTGCAGATATAATGAACGAAAGCTTCATTATAGTTGTTGTTGTTGTTGTTTGTTGTTGCTTTTTTTGTTTTAGTTTTTTCTTCATGATTTCTTTATGACATCAACCAGTTCTTTACACAATGAAATTCTAGGTTCTTTGCGATAGATCAGCCTTTAGTTTTACATCGTCGTCGGATTTGTTGCTTGTTGAAAATTCTTGCATTATCTTTCATTCTGTAACTCTCTTCCTTCGTTAGCATCCCGTGCGCTGATATTTGTCGTCTATTTGATTGGAAAGTGCGACATTTAAGCGATTTGTGATTTTCCATGCCCATTAGTATAAAGGATGCAAGAGGAAACCGTTTTGCCTTTATGAATAGCTGAGGGATGCACTGCTTATTCGACTTCATTAAACATCGTTAGAGATGATTCAATGCATATCTGGCCTTTACAATGGCTCGCGGTGGCCTACCGATGTATCAAGTCAAAGTAGTTGTCCACTATGACAAGTCTGGTAGCAATTTACCCGATTTGTCGACCTCATAGGGATGGAAGGCTTGTTGAGTCTGGAGCGTGAAATTAAACTGACGACTACGTGTGTACTGCAGGCAGCCTCTAACCATTGTGCTACATGCGCACCTTTCCAAACAGTTGGTTATTTTTTTGGATTTCAGAGCAAAATCTCTAAGAGGGTATAGTCTACGCCTATATTGATACATTGTTAGTGAAATTCGTGAATGAAGAACAATTAAACTCTACATAAGGTGAAATTGCGTTAACAAATGGTTATTAATTAAGAACCGTTTCAATGAGCTCGATTGATTGATACGATTTTAAATAGTTACTTGATAGTTAATACTTGAGGCCTGTCCTCACTGGTTGTGCAGGCCCCAGCACAATCACAATTTTTCGGAGATTTGCTGGTTAAGGCATAGTGTTTCCCTGGAATCCTGAGGTAAGCCTGGCCAAAGTCTGCCCCAGGTCTTCACCACCACAGGCAATGGCAGCCCTTGTGGATCAGAAGTAGATTTGGCACCATACGACTCTGATACCAGAATGGTGGTGGATCCTGGTATTGGTTTACTCTTAGCTAGGCGTCCTGATGGAAACGGAGGACTCCCTTTCAGCTTGAGAGACCCTGCGGGCGGGAGGAATCCTCCCGCTGTACATCGCAGTCCGACACTCAGGAGCACCACCAAGCTACGATGAGGTGGTAAGCCGTTTGGAGGACGGTTTTAAATAACCTCCATTAATACGCATATGGGTTGAGCGTATAACTTCTAATCGGGTTTATTTCACGTTCAAAAATATCGAAATTTACCCGTTCAACCTGATTTTAACTTCTAGTTCCTTCTTCATTAAAATAAAAGATGACACATAAGTGGAGTCTAGCAATACACTATAACACCGCAGTTACTATTCGTGTCGGAATTACGGATAGTAGTGGTTCGATCCCAAACCACGCCATCGTGGCCACCCACCACCCTAAGGTTGGTTTAATTAAACGAATGCACATTTTAGACAGTTTTGAAGATAGAGCTGAAAATCCCATAACATTAGTGAACTATCCTACGATTCAAAACGCATTTCGCCAAGACATCATGCAATTTGCACTTCTTGAAAGGCCTATATCTTTTGCAGAACAGCAAAGATGATTTGCACATGAGTTGTTTTCTCAACAGACAATCAAAGTATTTGAGACGCTTACAAATGATGCAATATTTAAATCGTGCCTTTGCAGAATGACACCTGTCATTTGCTCATTTTCAATTCATAGAAATATATCATCGAAGAAAAGCAGATTACGGTAATGTAGGATGCTCATTAGTTTGTTTTTCTATGCTTTTTGCGAGTCTTAAGTACATAATTATTTAGCCAACATGCCACCTCATACCCTATGGCAATAAAAGACGGATGGTTAGTATAGAACGACTTCGAATAGAATCAATAATCACTTTTTTGGGATTCAAAAAAAACGCTGCAGTTAATGTTGAAGTAATGTGTATATGTGTATATGTGTGTGCTTGTTATGTTTGTATACGTCCGATATATATATATATATATATATATATATATATGTATAAAACAAGGCGCGTGCGGCGCACTGGTCGGAGGATCCCTGCACCACAGACGTGGAATCGATCCCGGTGTCCATGGCCCACCAAGCCTTCCATCTCTCCGAGGTCGGCAAATTGGTAGCAGACTTGTCTGGAAGGATAGCAGCAATGGCTCGACACATCGGTAGGCCACCGTGAGTCACTGTAGAGGCTAGATATACATTCAATCACCTGCAAACGATGCTTAATATAGTGGAATGCAAGGCGCATTCCTCAGCGATTGATCAGCGCCGAGAGCTTTACCCTTTTATAACATTTTCTGTGGTTTTGATTTCTAGTCTTTAAGAAATAAAATCAATATATAAACGGAAAAGCTATGCAATAATAAAGATTCAGTAAGAATCATCTTATATGAGGAGCATAGGAGCATTTCAATTCTGACCTGATTATATGCAAGCACACCAGTAGTTGAGTTACTTGGGCCGAGGCTAGTAAATAAGTTGTTCGCCACTGTTTTGACCCATTGGATCCAGCAAGCTCGGTTCCTTATAAGCACTCGATAAACTTCAAGACGTATGGAATTATTTTTAAAACTGTCTTCACCAAGGTGACAACCATATGTAGCCATAACCATCAGGTTCTGTAATTTTATTAACGTCTTCCTAGTTAAGCTTTTGGATGGCCGAACCCTTATCGGTACTTAATCTCACTTTAGATGGCCTTTCTAGGTTGATGAACTTTTAATGGACACATTTGCCGACAATAAGGAACAAACTCTAGCCATGAGAAAGCCCGAAAACATTTGTGATAGTGTGAAAGCATAAAAAGAAGTCTAAAGAGATTTAAGTATTTAGCCGTTGTAATCATTGCTTTCTTCACCTTAATTATGTTGAAGACGTCGCAAGACTTATGAAATATTTTTATTGAACATTTACAGAATTTGCAATCATGTTTGGGATCTCGTACTCTTCCTGACGCTTCCCGCTTCGTCTTGCAATCTTTATAGTACCGAACGATGCCTACTGGTTCGTATTCCAGTGAATCTCACTATGTATCTGGCATTTTCTGGGACATTCATGCTGGCGCTTGAACGGTGAGATTCTCAGTTTCTTCTACAGAACACTGTTTTCGTAAGATGTATTCTGTAACTAAACCTAGTACAAAATTATCCAGTGAATGTGACTCTGTCATAAAAAGGATTCTGCAATTAATCTAATAAAACTAATTATTTTTCTTAAAAAATAGTACTGAGCCGTTCGCGTAGGAAGATAGATATATTAGAATTAAAGCGAGGTCAATGACAGCTGTGCCGAAGTGAGGAAAGCACCGTCATGTCCGCATAAATATGGCAGTCTCCTGCTAAGAAGGCCGAAGATCTTCATTTGATCAGTGATTGTTGGATAGATATGTGATTTGCAGACAAGTCTTATGAAGCTTGTTAAACTAAGAAGGTAAAGAGGTCCAATCACATAAAGAATTCCATACTTTGAATTCAGCGGATATACACGTTTAAATATGAGTTCGAAGGTATTTTCTTAAGTTTGCATTTGTGCTAAATATTTGCCTAGTAAGTAGGCAGATAGCACAGTAGCAGTGATAGCGATGATCACAAGCACCGGTGTTGGTTGAATCCACTTTGGGTTAAGCAAGCCTGTCGTCCCTCCGGCACCAGCAGATTGGCCGCAGTAAAAGAAAAAGTCACTCTATGCAATCCAAACAAAGACGCTCTACGCCGGCCATTTGAGGGCTCCAGATACTGGCCTCGACCAGCATTTAACGACATTCAAGGTGAAAGCAAAGATCTCAAGCAGTAGTCGATGCCACACTTAGAAGTTGGAAGACCTTCGTGAATGATGTATGCGAGGAAACAAATCGAATGTGAGAAGTGCTGGGATCCATACCGAAGCTGTGAAGGACGATTCATATAAAAGAAAATGAAAATTCTGTTATCCTTTTATACAAACTTTTCATTTTCCACTGTTTTTGACGAAAAAGTACTTACCGGTATTTCACATGGAGGTGTAGTGAGTTCTGCGTTCCTATAAGTGTAGTCTTTTCGTTCTTTCCACGATAGGTGTTGGATTGGTTGCTTGTTGTTAGTTGCTTATTGTTAATTAGTTGTTGGGAGTCTGGATCTCTCCGTATGCAACTTGGGTTGTAAGTCAATCCGGACAACATCTGCATAAAAGATCAACGTATCACGACTAGCACATCAAATCCTTTTATCTCTATTCAAACCTGGTTACTTTATCTGGAAATGTTTCGTGGAGTTCGACGGCTATCCATCAAACGAACTTCATCAGGCAAAGTTAGCATAAAGCTTCAAAGTTCCAGAATTTTTTTTCGGCATCTGTTGTAATAAATTTATGCTATATTTTCAGATGTTATGCAACGTGGAAGCTAAACAGTTACGACAGAAACCGTATCGTTGGTCCAGTACTGGTTTTCATACAGGTTCATTTAAATTACATTATTTCTTTTCATCTCTCATCTCTCTCTTCTTTTCTGAGAAGCAAGCAGTTACTACACTATGAACAAATCTAAATGTTTCCTACTTCGGCTTAATGCCTTGTACTTCAAACAGAAGACACTTATTGCGGAAATTTGTTTGAGTCTTACAAGCATCGTTTGTTTTTTAAAGCTGGAATCACTTGCCTTTCTAATAATCGTGTTACAATAAAGTACCGCTTCTAAAAGAGCATTCATTAGATCACTGGAACGCTGCTAACTAGAGGATAAGGATAAAAAAGGATAAAGGATAAAGC